TGATGTCTTGATTGTTGCAGGAAATGCGGCAGATACCAAAGTTGGAGTGATGCGAGCTCTTACAACCCTCAAGGCCAAGTTCAGAAGAGTCTTCTACACCTTTGGAAATCATGAGATGCAAATAATGACATCAGAGTTTGCCCGCTACCCGGACTCTCTCACCAAGATGAACGAGATTTTCACAGCCTGTGATGAAGTTGGGATTGATGTTTTCCCTGCACCTGTTTGTGAGGGTGTTCTCATCATGCCATTGTTGTCATGGTGCAGTGCTGAGTTTGATCACGAAGACCCTTTCCCGGATCCAAATGCCAAGTTCAATTCCAGATGTACGTGGCCAATGGATGCGGATATACAGCTTTGGAAATATATGATGAAGCTGAACGAACCGTTTCTGGACATTCGTGGCTTTGATACGGTGATTACGTTTTCCCACTTTTTGCCACGGCAGGGGTTGCCATTTGACAAGACCAGAAGGAACGCAGTAAAGTCGGTGGGTTGCGATATGATTGATGAACAGGCACGTGCTGTCAAAACAAAGCTGCATGTGTATGGTCACGGTTGCGTGCGAAATGCGCAGATGCATGCTGGAGTGCGCTATGTGAGCTCACCTATTGGCTTTCAGGTAGACTGGCCAAAGGATCACCCTCCAAGGCTCATGATGGTCCACAACGGCCGGAGCCTATGCATGCAGGAGTGGGGCACAGATGACGAACCACCCCTGGGCTACACGAAGCGCTTGCTGCACTTGATTATCTACGCCATGCCAGGCCTGCGAGAAGCAGAGATGCGCAAGATTCAGAACATTGTTACTCACAAATTTGTGGGCACTCCGAATCATCCAGGAATCCTGTGCTCTTTTGATCGACTTGGTAGCAGGAGCCTCGACAAGGAAGCTCTTGCCCAAGATGCTTGGCCTGACATACTGTCATGCAGCCAGGATATGAGTCACGTGTTGACTGTAGTTGCTGATAGCGTGGATGCCCTCAAAGCGTTTCTCACAAGTGAAGCTTACTGCAAAGACTTGTCGACATCAATCTCGCCCCACTCACGGAAGACCGTGTCCTTTTCCTCGCCTTTGGGCCTAGATCTTGTCCATGCCAAGAAGCGAGACCCAATGCTGATCGTGCATGGTCTCCAGCTCAAGGTTGAGGTGAAGGAGGACAGCGAGGAATACGCAAGAATGGCGAAAGCAGTCGAAGCGATTGGCAAGCTTCCAGGCACAAGGGCAAATTCAATTCTCTTGAAGAGCCACACTGTAGCTAGTACTTAGACAGACAGACAGACAGACAGGCAGGCAGGCAGGCAGACAGGCAGGCAGGCAGGCAGAGAAAGAGACAGACAAGCAAACAAGCAGACAAGCAGGCAGACAGACGGACAGACAGACAGACAGAGACGCCTGCCAGGCAGGCAGGCAGGGAGGCAGGGAGGCAGACAAACCACAGACAGAGACAGGCAGCCAGGCAGACAGGCAGCCAGGCAGACAGACAGACAGACGCTGTTTTCCCTGTGACATTACTCCTCTGCGGTGCAGGCAGCATAAGAGACAATTCTTTTAACCTTCAACTCTGGTCCAAGAGTTGTACCAGGTATTGATGGCAAGATTGCCATAGCGCTGCAACCACTTGGATCCGGCCGCTATTCACATGAGGATTTGCTCGAGCGGCTGGGGAACGAAGATCGCGCCGCTGGCATCAGCCATTGTTTCTCAGTGCTTGTGGATGAACCAGCCAGCTACAAAGTCCTTGCGCAAAGCAAAACATTTGGCAAGTTGAGGGCAGCTTACGAGACTTGGGGATTTTGAATTGTTTTCTTGTAGTTGGCCGGCCGTGGGCGTTTGTGTTGTGGTTGTTGCTGGAAACCCTTGACTCGGACTTAGGTGTGCAAAGACTTTATGCCAAGCAATGCCCAGTGAACCAAGGAACCATATTTGATGGGCAAGCCGCTAGCCTTTGGTGTGCCACTGGACATTGCTGCAACTGCGGCCGCGCCGAAGGATGTCGCCAAGGCCAAGAAGACTAACGGTGTGCAAGGATGACTCCACGCCGACTTTTCCCAGAATCAGCCAATGAGAGCCGCGCAAAAATATAGCTAGCATGTTGCAAAGCAACCTGCCAATGCTCTAGCTTTGGCTCAGCTAGGGGCCTTTGCTTCCGCATGGAGACACATGGCCATTTTTTCGCAGCTAATGCAGAAACTCCAAAATGTAGTACAGTCAGTGCGAATGTTGACAAGTGTGCAATCTTAGCCCGTGGCAGCTGCGAGCCTTTTGCGTGAGCCAAGAAATTTTCACTCTTCGAAAAGGTTGTCTGGTGCGTAAGCCTGAGGTGCTCCAGTATGGTACGGATTGGGAACCCATGTGGAGGCTATTCATGCAAACTGTGAAACTGTCGGTCGTGAGCGCCCTCCGTGATCATTCTGGGATTTTTCCACTCCAAACTCCTGTTCTCAGTAAAGTTGCATTCTACCGATGTCAATTGTTCAGAGTTGATGCTTTGGCCAGGTTCCTGGATTGGGTTTTTCAAGCGAAAAGGAGCACCCTAAGGGAAGGGAAAGTTGTGGACTGTGAGACAGGTGAGAGTGTCTGAGCGCCACCTGGCATTGTGCTCGATCTCCCTCATTCCTGCTCTGGGTTCTTTTCTTGTTTTGGGTTGAAGGCAGGTGGGCTGAGGCAGCTCCTGTGTCATGGTCTCAATGACCACTTGGCATATGCTTTGGACAACCTTTGCCGTGGTGTTGCTTGGCTCGAACCCGTTTTTGTGGCCGCAGCGCCCGCAGAGTTGCCAGTGCCCACTCGCACGCTCAAGCACAGTGACAGCTTCTCTCACCACCTCTTGATTCTAGGGCGCAGACACACTGACCATTGGTTCAATCTGAGGTAGGAGCGTGGCCATCACCCCCCCATGCGAAGCCATGGTTTCGCCATGCGCTGCTGATGCTTGCCCAAGCGGGTGAGCGGATCAGTGACTACGAGGTCCTCAAACTTCTTGGCCGCGGCAGCTTTGGAGTTGTGCCTCATGGCTGCGATAGTGAGTGCACGTCTGACCGTCAGCTGGCTTTGTTTTTCGATATGGGTGCAAAAGGAGCAGTTCGCAATGAGCTTCCATTAACTGATATGTTTGGAGTGGTGGGTGGAAGTGCTGCGGTGAAGTGTGACAGCGTGACTTCCCCCGCACATCTCCCGGCATCGTTTGTAATTACAAACGAGACCTAGATTTTGTTCCTCGAAGAGAGGTGAGAGGTGAACAGAGACTGCACTTTATACTTGCAGACATATACTTAGAACATTGTTTTTTTTCCAAAACCCGAAACCCTTTACTTAGAACATCGTTTTTAGAACATCCTGGATTGCACACTTAGAACGTCCAAGGATTGCTCGCTTAGAACATGCTGCATCAGCACACTTAGAACATTATATATGAGGAACATGGATAGATGCAAGAGGGTTGTATATACATATACCACCTGAGGTCTTTGGCCTGGCGTAGTGGAGTAGCAGAAAAGATCAAGACAGGTCTATACAAGGAGGCTTTCTATGATGAAAGAAAGAGCAATCATGCATGTGCCATGGATTCCATTGTGAGTGTATGCACTTAGAACATGGGGACACAAGCAGCACGTTCCTGTCGCTTGGTGTAGGGGGTAGTGGTGAATAGCAAGACCACCTGAAGCTGTGGAAGCAAAAGGGGGATAGGAGCGACACTGTTGATTCGCGTATGAATAAGTGGAAAAGTTCCAGGCAGGTTTACATAATAAGACTTTCTATGATGAGACAAAAGAGCAATGATGCATGTGCCATGGATTCCTCTGTGAGTGCACACACTTAGAACATGGGGACATAAGCAGCACGTTCCAGTCGCTTGGTGTAGGGGGTAGTGGTGAATTGCAAACCACCTGAAAGCTGTGGGAAGAAAAGGCGGATAGGAGCAAAGCTGTCGTATAGAGTAGCAGAGAAGGTTCAAGGCAGGTCTACATAGTAAGGCTTTCTTTGTGTCAAAAGAGCAATGATGCATTCCTCTCTCAGTGCACACACTTAGAACATGACATGTGTTTGTGTGTTTCACTACACCCCTTGTTTTGTAGCAAGCATTGCATCCAAAGAGCACAGATGGAAACTATTTTTCTTCTCTCTTTCGTGTTGCCCTAGCTCTCAAGTCCTGAACACAGTGAAACATCGCCTGCAAAGGCAACCCCAGCCGCATTGACGCAGGAGCACCAACACTATGTAGGCAAACACAGAATGTCACATAGGCGCATCTTCCCAGAAACAACTATAGGAAATCATGATACAGTTGATTCATTGAACCGTTGCCTCCATTGGCCCATTGCACCAATGCATGCACAAATCCCCTTAGGGCTGCATCACATAGAACAGTTGATACAAACAAACATGGTGTTTTACATTTGAATCAAACCTTATGCATCGGACACAGGTTGCAGTTGTGCAGCCCGGTGGTGCAAGTCACACCAGGTATTGAATCATGAACGCACAGCGCGTATGCACCATTGGTAGGCGCACAACCGGGGCCAAGCTGTACTAAAAGTCTTGGCCATCATCAGCGCTCTGCACATGATTGGACCCCAAGCAAGTCTCTTCAACTCCGGAATCATTCATCAAAACAATAACAATAGATAGATAGATAGATAACAATGTTCAGTACATGGAGAGCTACAAATGAACACTATATAACCTTGCAAGGGAGAATGCTGTTTTCGTGCAGGAAATGGAGGACATGGCCACTTCACACATATAATAAGCTAGTGGGGATTTCCACCAAAGTCCATCATGCTAACCATTGGTGTATCCTTTGGTTTCTTGTGAATCATTCAGCTTGTGCATCTGAATGAAACTGAAGGAATCCCCACACCTCCGGCGGCTCAGTTTTAGGTGGCAGTCCCAACACACTTAGAACATTATATACAACAAACACAAACATTATATATATACATATTTTTGGTTGCGCACCACTTAGCTGGAAACATTTGTACCCTGAGAGATGAAATCAAACACTTTGTGTTGCCTCTGCCTGCTCTACTCGGGCCAATTGTCCTTTCCATAACATATCTTTCGGATTCTGTGAAATGTGAGCATGCAATATACCCCTGATGGCCCGTAGAATGGCTTCTGGCTCACTGCGACGGGTGGTGCCACCCCACACGGCTGACATTGGAATTGCTGCGCGGTTATGGACTCCCGGATACATCCCCTGCCACTGTTTGCTGGTGGCGTGGTACGATATACTGCAACCCGGCACTCCACGCGGTAGCATGGTGAGCCCCTTCTCTTGCAAAGACTTCCAAGCCGGACGAAAGTTGAAGGACTTCACCTTCTTTGCCGTGATGTTGTCCTCATCCAAACATATTTCCTCATCTGAATCTGCTAGTACAAGCAGATCTGCGTCAAGCTCAGCTTCCAGGTTGTCATGGGCGTACTGCTCATCTGCCTCTTGAAGAGCAGCAAACTCATCGGGTGCATCTTCCTCACCTGATTCAGCTGAACCCTCTTCCGCTAGTTCCATGCCGTCAGCAATGCCCTCGGGCAATTCCAAATCCAGTTCTGAGGGTAGGTCATCATGAGGTTGGATGGACGGGGCACTCTGCAACAAGACAAGCCTGTACTCAGACCCGTCGCTGGCCTTGACCTTCAGCTTCTCAGGATCCTCATGCAGCAAAAGGTCAATTGAGAAGCACCTCTCATCAACATCTTTGGAATCACACACCAGGCACTCATGTTGCTTGGAGAACACCAGCTGCTGCTCACATCTCAACTTCCATTGATCATACGCTTTCTGTTGTCGGCTGCTTAAATTCTTGCCCTGAGCAAACCGACCCTCAATTCTTGTTTCCCATGCTGAATGCTCACTGACAAAGCTACATACTCTCATCTCCAGCACTTGACTGATATATGTAGGCAGCACCACACGAGTGGAGCTATCATCACCCTTCTGGATTGCCCAGCAAAGCTTGGTCTCACCAGCCTTGGTACCACATGTGGTGGGTGCACACTTAGAACATTCACACATGTCCAGAACAGCTATCAGCAAACAAATAGTAACTCCATTTATTATGAGATTGTTTAGACATACTCGTGTACCAAAGCATGTTAAAGCTAGGTCAATCAGAAACATATAGTGTTATATATATATACACATACATAAGTCTCAATTTATCCCCAAATTACTGCAACGCCTTTCAAGATCTTGCAAGGCACTAGCTCTTGGACCCTCATGTGAACCAATGTGCCATCGACGTCCTCCCCGTCCACATCCGGTAAGTCTGTAAGGTGCAGAAGATCATCCATTGCACCACGTGGCTGATTCATCTCCTCGCGCATCTGGTCCAGGTTTCCTGATACATAAATCATTGGCCCAGTGACAACAAAACGAGCTTGACTGTTTATATGTTTATGTATGTGCATTTATATATATATACACATATGAAACATTTACATGTGTACAAGATGAGCAATATACTTGTGTGGACATCCACTTAGAACATCCAAGTTCAATGAAGGATTCAAAAAGCAAGGACTCAGTTAAGTTATGTTAAAGTCAGCGACGAGGAACCTCGGAACAACCATCCAGCAATATCCTCTTGAGAGCAATAGCCCCTTTGCAGCCACGACGTCCAAATAAGCCGGCTGTTCCTCACAGACTTGATTCACACAAAATTTGATCCTCATACTTGCCAGTCAGCGACATCTTCCAATTGCTATATATATATATATACAATGTACATTCATGTGTGCGCCACCTATTCTCCACCAGCTGAATACACTTAGAACGTCCCACTCTAATTAAGACCTTGTCCCAACAACCGTTTGGTTTGAGAAGAGGTACCTTTTCTCTTGCAGCATCGAAATTGCCCAAGCATCTGCCCTCAGCGATACTTCCAAAGGGCACCTTGGCTGTGAGCACAGCCCAAGTGGTTTGTCTTGGTAGTTCCAACTACCTGTGGGAATGGTGCACTTAGAACATTGCTAGTGAAATTTGCCTTTGGGAACTAGATATACTGTACAAAGCAACAACCACAACAACAAGAAGAAGCAATACCAAAACTAAATGTTTACCATGCGCAATCCAGATGCTTTGTGCTTGGCTGGGACTGCAGACCCATTTGCAGTTCGTCTAGACGGGTCCGGAGCTGTGGCCAAGAGCCCCACCCCACCGCCAATCGTAGGTACGATTTGGTCAGCGCGTGAAGCCACTGATGCCACCCATCGTTAGGCCCAGCGGCCGCGCCAAAGCCACCCGGCACGGGGGTGGCAGATCGGCCGGACATGAGCTCCTTCAAAGGATGAGCAAAGTATGTTCCCGATTTAAACAAAACACACACACATGTTTGTATATATATATATACGTGTATATACAAATTCATTAAAGAACCATAAAAACTTCAGGAAAATTGACTGTACCCAAATCAAAAGGTGTAGGATGTTCTAAGTATAGAACACAGAAGAAAATCCATTGCGACAAAGACCAAGTGGCAATATTGTTCTGTTTGCTCCATTGCTGCTGGATGCGTTCATACCGCTTGGACATGTGTGCAGATGCTTGGTCCATAAGCACCAAAGCACGAGCTGATGCATCCAACCCAAGCATCTTCCGTCTTGCTCGTACTTCCTGTGCCAAAAAGCTCAAGAACTTAACCTGCGTGGATTCATTCCAAATGTGGCTGGAAACTTGCTGCTGCTCAATGAAGAGGAACTTGTCCAGCTCCTTGTTCAATCGCCTTCTGGTAGATTCAGGCATTGAGCCGCTCCGCAAGGTCACGTAGGCCCGAGACACGTGCCCATCAGCAAAGCTAATGGTTGTCACTGTGCGGGGCACCCGCCATTCATCTACAGGTGCTACAGCAGCACTCCCTCCTGTGATCTCATGCAAGCCCTGCTTGAACTCGGGATGAGAATTGCCAGCAGGGTCTTCTTCTGTAAGAGTCATGTCCAAGCATCGTTCTTTGTTGTGTCTGATTTTGCGCATAGCCATGGACTTGCTGAGCGGGTCTTTCAACAAACCTCTTGCAGCACCAGGCTTCTGCAAGACCTTCTTAGCAGGGCGGTATATTGTGCTCCAGACTAGATCATAGTTTGCAACGAGCCTGGGTTCAATTCTTTTCTCTTGCACAGCCAAAGTCACATACGTTCGGACCCTCTCCAGAGAGGGGTGAGTATATGGCAAGTGAAGCCCTGGCTTCTCATTTGAGCGATACCTGATATCAAACTTGCTGCACAATCGCTGAGCCTTCTTCCTCACATGGACAATGGGAACCACACGCAACTCTAGTTTGCATTCATTGTTTATACACTTAGAACGTCTACTTTGATTGAAAGAAGCACACATTAACACACATATCATATATATATATATAAAAGCAGGGTTCAGGAAAGTACCTTTAGTGTTTGTATATATATATAATGTCCAAGCTATTGTGTCTACAGTGTCAAAAATACGCAGCTCTTGGCAGTATAAGGTATTGTTTGTCTTTAGTTTAATGTGATTCATGCATTCAGTGCTTACACACTTAGAACATTCCATACATAAGTCAAAGCCTAGGTTCAGGAGAGCACCATCGTTTATGTCCATGTTGATAGGCTGGAGCAAAGATTCAGCATTGTCTGCCAGCTCCTGGAAGAACTTGTGGAGACGCTGAGGCGACATGGATGCAAGCTCCTCATCTTGCTGTTTGATAGTCTCAAGGCCGGTTGCCTTGATGTCACCGCGAATCATTTCAATCACCTCATTCCAAAGCTGCACGGCCCAGACTATCGGATTCACATATGGTCTCTTCACCCAGCATGATTCTGTCCATGATCATTCCCTCAATTGCCTGCTCCAAGGCAAACGGAATGTAGCATCTCTCTGTCTCCTTGCTTGAAGTGCCATGGCCTCAAAGCCCAGGATCCTTCTGAGGCTGTTGGGCAATTCCTTGTGCTTTTTGCACATGGCAGGCGCAGTTGCGCAAAGCAACTCCCAGTTCTGCTCTCTGCGTGCTGCACCCCACTTGCTCTCGAACATGCAGCCGGCGAAGTATCCTGGTAGTTTCTGCTTCTCAACTTCTTTGATTGGATACTCCACCCCGCTAGACTTGGCCTTTTGAAAAGCCAGGAAGATCTCATTCTTTTGCCAGATGGTTGCCATGCTTTTCTTCCCTGTCCCTTTCTTGTTGCCAGGCCCTTTCCCTCTCTTCTTCTTGACTGGTTTGAGCTGTAGGAGTGTTGCTGGCGTTTTTTCGCGAAGACGCCGTCTGACAACCTGTTGTTCACCATCAGGTTGTTGAGCAACTTGATGATGTAGGGGATCATCGGATGGAACCACCTGCGCATCTGGCAGGAGTCGTTGGCTAACACTCTCACCCTCAAACTTGCGCTTCAGACCTTTCTGCTCACTGTCAAGGGAAGGCTTCGGGTCAACCTTCCTAGCTTTCCTCTCATTGGGCACAGCTTGATTTGCAGCATGTGCTGCCTTGACTGTCTCAATCTTTTTTGGTGCCACCATGGGCTTGGCGGGCATTTCTTGCAGATCAATGTGCAACCAACACTCGCAGGTCACAAAGGATGCCAAAACCACTGCCTGCACCACAGTGCTGGTGAAGGAGTTCCCAGCCAATTCCTCTGCCAGGCCATTCTCTAGCATCTTGTCATATGCCTGGACATTCTCTGCATCTACGCGCCAAATTTTGAGCATTGAGGTACTCCTGTGGCTTCACATATCTGGAAAGCAAATTCGAATAGATCTCATGCTTGGGAGTCACGCATGTCAGCACATTTGCCGCACTCTCCACATTCCGCTCTCTGGAAGTACTGCAATCCACAAAAATGTTTTCACCCTCTCCTGCCTTGGCATGGCAGCCAAGACCGATCTAGCTATGATGTATAGAAAAATATATAGAGTTACAATGAGTTAGATATTGGGATACCAAATCTGGAAATGTACATAAATCAACACACAACCCCAACACTTAGAACATGGTCAAGTCAGCAAAGGTCTCATCCTGCAGCCATGTAGCTGCACGGGCTTTCTCCATGGCTGCTGCCAGAATGTCGCAAATCCGTGCACCACGTGGCTGTTCCTCTGGCTCATTTAGATCAAAGCATTCCTCCATCCGGAAATGGAAATGGGATTGCAGATGCTGAAGGACTGCTCCAAAGGCATGAGCGAGAGCTTTGCCATCATATCCACCGCTGCCAACGTTTGCTTCTGCAACACCATAGATCCTGTTTCGCCTTTGGCGTACAAGAAAGTGTTGTGAATCCAGCTTGGCAAAGGCCTAATGCTGATTTGGGAAATGGAAGAAAATCCATAATGTATGTTTGTATTTATATATATATATTTATTTATTCATGTAAATATACACAGAAACATATTGAAACCAAAGGATTTAATATGGCTGTGGACAACTTGAGATGGCATATATATATACATATATATATATATATGTATGCAAAAAAAGGTACCCATGCGGCTAGACCACAAAGTGATAACCCATTGACTCAGCATCTTCTTTCACCACCTCATGCTGGGTCAGTGGATTCAATGAGATGGGGTGGGGTGTATCTTCACTTAGAACATCCTACTCCACAGTTGAAAAAAAGGTGATACTTTGTATCGGACTAGAAACCTCAATTTGGTGGACGAGTGATTCCACCATCTTTGCTTCTTGAGCATTCCGTGACTGACCGCACATTCTCGTAGATGCTCACCGCGGGGTGCAGGTTCTCCATCACCTGAGCGGCTTGCGCACACACAAGATTTGCTTCCAACAGCTTGCTAGCAAAAAACTATCAAAAGCTACATCTATATACAGTACTATCTGTGTATATATACACATAAATAGATATATATTATATATATACACATATGAAAAGGTACACCTAGAAATTCTGAGAACATTGATGCAAAAACACGTGAACAAAAGCTGAAAGAGTAAAATAGCAAGCCTAGAGACGGCTTTAAATCCTGCCCGGTATGTAGGACCGCTGGTTCCATTGTTTCCCGATGACCCTTCATAGCACGCCGCGAAGTTTGTTCGGTTGGCATTCAATCTGCCTGGGCTGCTTTAAAACTCGCAAGACACACCCTTTGCATATGCGCCCCGACCCCCCCAAAAAAAGAGACAAAAGGGCATCAGAGCATACTGTACCTGTATAAATAGTTTTAACAAACTCCAGGATGCTAACATCTTTGCAGCTTGGGCCGCATAGATGCAAGTCCACTGTCATAGAATCATCGATCTGATGGCTCCTGCCACATACATGGCAATAGCCCGACATGTCTTCAAAGCAATGGCAATCATTGAATAGGTGCTCTACCGTGGGATGAGCTGCAAGTATGTAGTCAGCCTTGTCCTTGTCCGCTTCAGCTGAAAAGATGTGGTGCAAGCCAATCTCAACCTCAGAATGGTGAGGGAATGACAATACACACAAGACCAAACCACTATATATATACACACCGTTTATAACTCTATATATATACTGCATACTTCTTGTAGCTCTAGTTTCACCGATCATTGTTCTGGTTGGAAAGAGTGTACACTTAGAACATTCTGTATGATCTTGCTTAGAAACGTTGAACTCCTTGTTCATCGCTTGAAGAAGGGTGCGGATTGCAACCATGCAGATATCGGATCCAGAGCAAGCCGTCCCAACCTTGAGAATGCGCTTGTTCATCACACCGGCAACCCTGGCAAGCCTTTCCTGATATCTGGGAGGTAGTAGCTTCATAAAGAACTGAGCCGTCTCAAAGAGGGAAGGAGCTGGCGCTGGCAGATCCATCACTTGGTACAGGTTCTTCTTTTTGCAAGTGAAATGTCTGTTTCGGAACTTTCCAGAAGCAAATATGATCCTGATAGGATTGTCCAAAGGTGTGACTGTTGCCACACGCCACGCAAAGACTTTCTCCCGCTCCCGAACCCTGTTTGCCCAGGTCTTGGATTCCAAAACATTCAGCATAAAGCTTTTCCATGGATGAAACCTCTTCACTTGCTCACATTTGTCCAGCGTGATAAGCCCGACGTGCTCACACTGGGTTCCAGCATTGTCGGAGATGATAATGTGGAAGGTAGAGGGAAACTGGTTCAAAGCATAGCTGCGAAAGAGGTAGATCGGTGATGTGTCACCTCGCACAAGAGACCGCCAAGTCTCCTCACGAAGCATAAGGCAGGAAACCATCTCAGACCCTCCTGATCTGGGGGTATGCGCTGGGCTGGCCAAATTCTTGTTCATTGGTGTAGCAACTTTCCTGCCTTGCTCGGTAGATATCTCTGGAGCGTCCACTTCATCATGCTTTCTCTTCATTGGGTTGGACACGAGAATGTGAGATTTCTTTGATTTCCTGATCTCATCTAAAGCCCGTTTCCCCTCAGTGCCCTCAAGACTGGGTCCAGTATTGCTAAAATCTTTTCTCATTTGTCGTAATCTCTTTGCTTTCCCAACAGCAGCAGCAGATACCTCAATCAAGCTGCTATTGCTGCTTGCAACAGTGTCAGGTGACTCCTCTTTAACTTCCGGCTTGACTTTTGCTGGCTTGGGAGTTACCCAAAACTGCAATGGTGCTTGAGCCTGGTGTTTAGCTGCTCGCGGTGGTGCTTGAAATGGTTGCTTGCATAAGGCTGCAGGTTGGCTCGATGGTTTGCTTGTTTGGGCACGATTGCAAATTGCTGGTGGTAGCGGAGCTGTTGATTCATCTGCTCGTTCTATCTTGACTCCTTGTTCTGCCAATGTTCGCCCTTGCTTGGGAAGCTGAACTGCTGATGTCTTTGCTGAAGCTGAGGTAGTGCTGGCATGTTCTAAGTGTGATGGTGCTGAAGGAGGTGACTGCATGCCCGAAGCCTGTCCATCATGACATTGCACCTGTGCTGCGGGAGGTGCTGGAGGCGCTTGCATGGTCCCAGCTGATGCTTCTTCTGCTAGTTGTGTTTTTGGTGGGTCCTCCACTGATGTTGCTTTGTCGCTTGGCTGGGCTGCTGATGCATCTTCTGAAGCTGAGGTAGTGCTGGCATGTTCTACGTGTGATGGTGCTGAAGGAGGTGACTGCACGCCGGAAGCCTGTCCATCAGGACATTGCACCTGTGCTGGTGTGAGCTGTGCTGCGGGAGGTGCTGGCGCTTGCATGGTCCCAGCTGAAGCTTCTTCTGCTAGTTTTGTTTTTGGTGGGTCCTCCACTGATGTTGCTCTGTCGCTTGATGCATCTGCTGAAGCTGAAGTAGTGCTGGCATGTTCTAAGTGTGATGGTGCTGCAGGAGTTTGTTGTTGCACATCATGATGCTGCAAAGCTACAAGAGGTACCTGCTGCTCGTTCATAACCTGTCGAGTGTGTGGAGGTCGAACTGGTTCAGGCACAGAATTGTTGATAGCCCCGCTGATATCACCATCGTCCTCCCCCAACAGAAGCAGTGAGATGGATTCAGCAGCATGCTCTCTGGGAACCTCGGCAGTGCTGAGCAGTGTGCTATATATCAAGCACTGTGATTATATAATTCACAGATATGTGTGTGTATGTGTTTCCCATCAGATACATATCTTACACGCGGCCTCAAACATTTAGAGCTCCACCCTTTGTGGGGGAAAAATAAAATGGTACATTTGGCACTGGATGCTGACCAAGCACGGTTTCAAGAAGTTTCAGTGCACCTTTTTGATCACTGCTAGCAGGAATCAGCAGACTGTAGTGGCCATAGCTGTCACCACCTTCCACAGGCTTGTCAAAGTGAAAGTAGAGATGGAGCCTTGGTGCATCTTCGCCAAAGACGACATCCAAGTTGGTTCCGTTCAGTGTCCCAACCTGACAGGCGCAACACTTAGAACATCCCAGATTGAAACTAACTACAGTAAGTAGTTACACAGTATATGGTATATGTACTATATATATATATACAAGTATTGAGGATGTTCGATTTGGGTGTCCCTTGCTTGAATGCAGCATGTGCAGCGTACTGTCGTCGCAAGAGCCTCAGCTATCCATTCTAAATCAGTTGGAGCAAAGTAGCCAGAGGATTCCACCCTGCTGATGGAAGGATGATGACTTGGCTGGCAAACACCCCTCGCGCAATCACAAACAGATGCACAAAGCTCTTTCGCTGCATTTGACTCTTGCTTGAGAAGCCTGGAGTTGATAGGGTATATGGAGACATTGCGAGGCACCTTGAGGTATCGCTGTACATCTCTGGCAGCAAGCATGGAGTGCCACCCGCACCAACCATCTGCAATGGTTGAAACTTTCTCAAAGTATGAAAGTTTCATTTGTTTGGTTCTCTCTGCCTTTGCCAACAAATCAGTCTGGGACTTCAGATGCTGCAGGGCAGATGCACACACTTGCTTTGCAGTGGCTTCAATGTGGGAGGTGCCAAGGTCGTTAATCCAGCACACATTGTAGCAATGCCGCCGCGATCGGTCTTTTGGTTGTGTCACCCAAGAGATAGAGACCGCTTTCATGGTATCATCATTGTCCCTGCTCAGCTCCCAGCATGCCAAATCTCCAGCACAATTTGCTGAAAAGTCAATTGTCACCAGCAAGGGGTTGGAAAAATCCAGCAAATCAAAGATTTCATTCCTTTTGTTTTGGCTGGCCCATTCCTCATAAATAGGGACCCGTCACGTCACAACAGCCCAAAGTCTTGCAGCGTGCAGCCACCCGATCGTGTTTTGCCAGGTCTGCCACTGTAGTTGTGGAGAGAACAAATTGCATGC